CAGTCTTCGTGTCACGTTGGTACTGACTGTTGTTGCTTCTGCTTTGAAATTCTTTTTCTTGTGCTTCTTCCTGTGTCTGTTCTGACTTCAAACTCGAATACAAACTCTTTGGGGACAGGAACTGCTTTTTTCTTTCTTTGGTAAATCATGATTTCACGACATCTAACTATTTTGACCTGTGTACAAGACACATCAAGGTTTTGTTGACATGGTGGATGGTGGCATCAGAGAAAATCCTGGGAGAGCTGAGGGAAAGCTAGGCCTCCAGCACTGGTCTTTCACACTTTGCAAGCAGGAGGGAAGCTCCTGCCCCAGAAGAGGAAATTCTCATCTCTCAGCTGGCATGATTTTTTTTTCCTGTGGTCCTAAAAAGGCAGCTGTTTTGTTTTGCTTTAGTTGGTAACCTAAATATTATATGGAGTGCTAACCCATAATAAGATCTGGATAGGGATACAGAAGGTCAGGTGTAAGGTTGCCAGATTTAGCAAATAAAAATGTAGAATATTCATTGAGATTTGGATTTCAGCTAAACAACAAATAATGTTATAGTATAAGCACATCTCATTCAATATTGAGACACGCACTAAGAAAAGTTATTTGGTGGTTAGCTGAAATCCAGTTTTAACGGAGCATCCTCTATTTTGTCTGGCAACTCTGGTCATGTAAGGGCAAGCACAAAACAGCTAGATAGAGAGGGGTAAGGATAAGGAAGATGGAGAGAGAAAAAAGCAAAAAACCAAAAACTTTCTGCTCAAAATGAGCCTTCAAACCAAAATCCCAAAATATGTAAAGAAATTAAATTAATACAGACAGCCAGCGAAGCATTTGTAACACAAATTCACTGCAGATGAAATTCTTTTTTCCAACAAAGAGCATTGAGATTAATCTATTTATTTGGGGGGAAGTGTAATATTAGTGATTTTGTTTCTTCCCAAACACGTCGAGCATTCTAAAGATTAAAATAATTCATTGGGTCTTTTTTTCCTTTTGGAAAATAATGCATATGGAGTAAAGATTTTAAAAATCCAAGCCAAAATATAATAAATAAATAAGAAATATAAATAAATTATATCAAGTTGTACCATGTAGAGATAGATAACCACTGCTCTCTTTTTGGTGCCTTTTAACTTAAGATATGAAGGACAGAAAGAAAAAAAGTCAGTCTTGTCAAGCACTGAGCAAAGAGAAACACAGAAAGCAGTATGTTCAAAGGTCCTGTGGTAGGAAACACAGTCTTACTGTGTTTAAGGAACTAAATATGGACCAGAATGGCTGGAGTGAAGAAGCTATCAGTGAGATATGAGGTTGTGCAGTTGCCAGTGGCCGACCAGTTCATGCAAACCTTGCTTAGCTTTATAATTTTATTCTATGTGCAGTAAAGAGCTGTAAATGTTTTCTTTTATTTTTTTAAAGTTATTATTTTTTTATTTGACTGAGAGAGAGAGCCAGAGAGCACAAGCTGAGGGAATGGCAGAGGGAGCAGGATAAGTAGGCTCCCCCTGAGCAGGGAGCCCGATGCTGGGCTGGATCCCAAGACCCTGGGATCATGACCTGAGCCAAAGGCAGATGCTTAACCATGAACCACCCAGGCACCCAGTTGTAAATGGTTTTAAGCAGAAGTGGATTTATATATTTAGCAACCATCCTTCTATTTGCATTTTTCCAATAGTATTTTAATAATTAGCTATGGCTTTTCTTTTTTTTGTAGAACATTTTTAAAAATTGAGATGTAATTGACATATAACATTATATTAGTTTCAGGTGTATAGTATAATGATTTGCTATGTGTATACATTGTGAAATGATCACCACAGTAAGTCAAGTTAACATCCATCACTACACATAGTTATAGATTTTTTTTATTTGTAATGAGAACTTTTTAGATAAGGTTAATTTTACACAACAGTTGGACAAAGATTTTTCAGTATTGTATCTTTAGTATCTCCTTAGAGAAAAGTAAAACCATAACTTCCAAAGTGAAAAGAATAAGAAATGATTAAACTAAGCAGCAAAAAAAAAAAAAGATAGTAAAATAAGAAAAAGAATCCACTAAAATTCTGAGAAATTATTTTTTTAAGATTTTATACGTTTATTTGTCAGAGAGAGAGAGAGCATAAGCAGAGGGAGGAGCAGGCTCCCCACCAAACAAGGAGCCTGATGCGGGACTCGATCCCAGGACCCTGGGATCACAACCTGAGCTGAAGGCAGATGCTGAACCAACTGAGTTACCCAGGTGTCCTGAAATCTGAGAAATTAAAGAAAAATGTCACTGAAATTTTACAAGCTCAATCCTTGGTAAAAACTCAGACAGGACACTGTTAAAGAAAGTTTTTATAATCTGAAAGATGGAACCAAGGAATTCACTCAGAAACACAGACATTACACAGTTTATGTACTGCAGTTAAGAGACAAGAAATAACGATTAAGAGAGAGGCTTTTACTTTCATCTAATTCCAGAAAAAGAGAAAATGAAAAGAATGGCAGAGAATCAGTATTTGAAGAGATAATTGCTGAACTCTTTCCAAATTTGGATGAAGACGTGAGTCATTAAATGGAAAATGCATTCAAGGCATCTAGTAAGATAAATAAAAGCAAATCCAGTCACAGACACATTAAAGGATAACAAAGATCAAGGGGAAATCTTTAAAATTATCAGAAAAGAAGATAGAATGACTAGCCTAATAGCAGACCTGTCATCCACAAAAGCAGATGCCAAGGACAGTAAAATATCACCCTCAAAAGGCAAAAGGAAAATAAATATAAACCGAGGACTGAATTTTGCTGTTAGCATCAAAGACCTAAGAAGAGAGACTTAAACAAATCAAATAACGAGTTCATTGTCGGGGGCGGCAGGGTGGTTCAGTCGGTTAAGCGTAGGACTCTTGATTTCGGCTCAGGTCATGATCTCAGCATCGTGAGATGGAGCCTGGTGTCAGGCTCCGCGCTCAGCAGGGAGGTTGTTTGTCCCTCTCCCTCTGCTCCTCCCCTTGTTCTCTCTCTCTCTCTCTCTCTCTCTAATAAATAAATAAATTAAATATTTTTTAAAAAAAGAGAGAGTTCATTGTCTCAAATCAAAGGAGCATGGGAAGGGAGAGGCCATCACAAAACCTGGGGTCCCACTCCCCTTGTTTCTGCTCTGCTTTCCTTAGCTTGTGGCTTCTCTCTTCATTGTCCTATGGAGGCTCCTATGTCCCACCAAAGGACAAGGGTAAAAGTGTGTCCCTCTAAGCTAAATTGGCCCCCTTTAGGAAGATTTCCCCCACTCAGTGTTTCCTGCTTACATCTCATTGGCCACTCATAACTGTGAGAGTCTGGAAAATGTAGTCTTTCTGCTGAGCACAAAGCTGCCCCAAATAAAATTAGTGTTCCAATTCCAGTTCTAAGGAAGAAGGAAGACAAGAATGTGGGATGGCCAGCTAGTGGTCACTGCCATAGCTATTATTTAAGAGTGTAAGCAAAAGAAAAACATTTCTAGCCATAAAGAATACCAAAAGAATTTTACAGCCTCTCACTAAAAGCATTATCAAGGATGTACTTCATTTAGAAATAAAGTGAATCCAGAGGGAAGGTACAGATCACAAGGAGCAACGGGGACCACTGCAATTTATAACATGCCAGGAAGTGCCATTGCAATTTACCGTAAAAAATAAATATTATTTTTTTGTTTTTAAAAAGGTAAAACTAGGGTGCCTGGGTGGCTCAGTTGGTTAAGCGACTGCCTTCAGCTCAGGTCATGATCCTGGAGTCCTGGGATCGAGTCCCTCATCGGGCTCCCTGCTCGACGGGGAGCCTGCTTCTCCCTCTGACCCTCCCCCACTCATGTGCTCTCTCTCTCTCTCTCATTCTCGCTCTCTGAAATAAATAAAAATCTTAAAAAAAAATAAAATAAAATAAAAAGGTAAAACTAAAACTGCAAGTAAAAATTACAAGATGGTGGAACTATTTCAACGTGGCAAAATGTTAAGATTTTATAATGCTGGTGGTGAGTATATAAATTATATATTCTATATTTGTCTGTAAGTTTGGAACAATTGATAATTTGAAAAATTAAGAAAGGTGATACTTAGAAGTTAAAACATCTATATATCAAAAGACATCATATCACAAAGTTAAAAAGCAAGAGAGAAGGACCAGAGGGGAAATGCTTGCAATATATTCAATGGGGCAAAAAAATCAATATCTATTCTATGGAAAGTAACCATACATCAATAGAGAAAAGACAAAACCCAATGGAAGGAGAGGGAAAGGATATGAATGAGATTTTGTAAAAGAAGAAATACAAATGGCTAATAAATATTTTTAGAAGATGCTCATCCTGTAATCAGGGAAATTCAATAGAAAACAACAATAGGGTGTTCGTTCTTAACCCACCAGAGAAATAAATATTTAGCAACTTGAAAATACCCAGTCTTGGCAAGAGAGGAGAGAAGGGCTACTCCTGGACCCTGTCAGTGGACATGTCATTTTTTAAAAAGATTTATTTATTTAAGAGCGAGAGAGCACAGCAGGGAGGGGCAGAGGGAGAGGGAAAGATTCCCAGGCCAACTCCAGAATGAGCGCAGAGCTCCACACAGACCTCAATCTCACAACCCTGAGATCAGGGCCTGAGCCGAAACCAAGAGTCGGATGCTCAACAGACTGCACCACCCAGGCGCCTCAGTGGTTATGTCATTTGGCAAAACTTGTTTGGATTGCAATTTGGTAGTACTGAAAATGTTGGAATAGCTATACTATTAGACATTATACATTAGACTATACATTATACATTATACATTAGACTATTATACATAGTTACACTTTTAGAAATCTACAAAAACCATTGAGCATGTGTACTAAAACAGACACATAAGAGTGACCATTGCAACACTTACTACAGTCATCAAAAACTGGGACTAACCTAAATGTCCAATAGTTGGAGAGCAGCGGATAAACAAATAATGATACACTTATACTAGGGAATGTCATGGAGCCATTTTAAAAAAGGAGCAGACTGATTACTTAGTGCCGGGCCTTCCAAGTTTGGTTTTCTCTTCTCCTGGACAGGAGGCCTCTGCCGCAACCATGTTACACCAGATCATTGGTCAGGCCAAGAAGTATCCGAGTTTGATCCCCCTCTTTGTATTTATTGGGGCGGGAGGTACTGGAGCAGCTCTGTATGTCTTGCTCCTGGCATTGTTCAATCCAAATGTCAGTTGGGATAGGAAGAATAACCCAGAACCCTGGAACAAACTGGGTCCCAATGATCAATACAAGTTCTACTCAGTGAATGTAGATTTCAGCAAACTGAAGAAAGAAGGTCGAGACTTCTAAATGAAATGTTTCATTATAAAGCTGCTTAGAATGAAGCTCTTCCAGAAGCCATCCACACAATTTTCCACTTATCCAGGACATATTTCCCCTCTAAATGCACAAAATCATGTTGGTCTATTGTGTTGGGGTTTATGCTGAATAATAAATATCTGAAACTTGAAAAAAAAAAAAGGAGCAGACCTCTAGAGCGGGACATATTGTGAAGCTCGGCAGGTCAGCAAATGAATACCACAAGAGCACACGCATGCATGCTGCTTCAAAATCGCCCATGAGTATGCTCTGTGCTTGGAACAGAGACTAGAAGGACACATACTAAAACACTTATAGTGGGGAATGCCAAGAAAGAGCATGAGATAACCACAGTATATTCTTCTGTACTGTGTGAGTCATTTAGAAGATTTAATATTTAAAAGGCAAGAAAGACAGATAGTAAATGTTCTGGAAGGAGTTCAGGAAACATTTGCTAGGCTTCATTTTCCTCACCTATAAAGTGAGCATAACTGCACCTAACCTTGTTCTGATCTGACCTGGAGGTAGGTCTTAAGATTCCAGTGAATACATTAAAGGAGCAATGAACACATATTTGGGGGAAAAGAGAGAAGGAGAGAGACCATATTCAAAATAATGGATTATCATGGAATAAGTGGGGCCAGGCATTTTCCATACATTCCTCATGTGAAACAGATGTTAATGTCCTAATTATCTTACCTGGGACATTTAGTGGTAAAACCAGCCTAGTGAGTGGCAGAGCCGGGGACTGAACCAAAGGGGCTCTGTCTCCATGCTTTCCCGGAAACCCCAGCGTTCAGCATCTGTTGAGAAGACGTAGCTGCAATGAGTTCCTCTTAGTCTCCACCACTCTCCAGCTCGGGGACCTTGGGCAGGTCACTAAACTGCTCTGTGTCTCCGTGTTCTCTTTTTGTAAAATGGATATAATCATAGCACCTACTACAGAGAGTTATCATAAAAATCAAATGAGTTAATACATGTGAAACACAGCAGCACCCAGCACAGTGGCTGGTGTGGGTGTGCTGTCTCTCACTATTATTTGCTTCATTCATCTGGTTGGTCAGTGGGAGAGAGAAGCATTTTCCCAGGCTCCACTGCTGTGGGGTTGAGTAAGGAGTGAAAAACTTAATATGAATCTCTTTCCCCCCTTCAGAATATGTTGTACACAAACAAGCAAAACTCTTTAGTATCTTCTTGGTCCCCAATTCTTGAGGACATCTCTGCCACTCCCTGTCTAGTCCCATGGCAAGTAAAACCCACGCCAGCCCCAGAAATGGGAGCTGCCCATTCACGTGATGCCCACAGCCAGCTCCACTCCAAGCCTCTGTCCGGTCCGACTTAGCACTCATGAATCCATCCTGCCAAACTAAAGACCAACATTCAGGGTTTCTGGAGCCAGCAGATGGATCAGCAGATGGCAAAAGCCAAATGTCCATGTCAAGGTTTCCCTTTGAGGGGCATTGTGGAATTGGTGTTTCCTTCTTAAATTGTGCATCTCCCCAGGACATGGAATGTCTGCTCCTCTGTCTGCCACAGCACACCAGGGGCCTGACTGAGCCCAGCTCCCCCTCCTGGGACAGGCCACCTCGTCTCCCGGCCAGCTTCTCACAGACCTCCCAGAAGTTCATGCACCCCTGTCCACTCCTCCATTCAGTGGGGAAAGAGGTTGATGGAGGGCTAGAAGACGTGTTCTCTATGCCGGCCATGCTGGGGAGCAAGGCTGTGAACTCCGAGAGCTCCAGGGACGGAATGGCTCAGTCTCTTCTCGGGGGACGTGCGGAAGCAGGGGCTGCCCCTGTCCTGGCTTCACTCGCTTTGTGCTTCAGGGCTCGGGGCTGCCAAACAGTATCCTCCCACTGGTAGGTAAAATGGCTTAGGGAAGTACGGAACAGCAGTGAGCCAAGGATAAAGAGGCTAGAGAAATAAAAAAGAAAGCCAGAGAGATAAAAAGAGCCCTCGGGAAATGGCAGCTCCAGAAGGCAGCAAGATGCTTTCATCTTCCAGCAAAAGAACAGCATCTGATTCTTGGTGTTTGCAGATCTTTGCAAACTGAAGAACATTTTGGGAATGTGGGAAGGCAGTGCTCTCTCTTTCAGGAGTGTGACTGTAGCTCCCTTTGACCTAAAGGGGTGGCTTTGGGCAAGTTGCTTAATCTCGCTTAGCTGCAGTTTCCCCTTTGAAAGACAGGATAATCATCTGTACCATATAAGGCAGATTTGGACTTAAACAACATAGAGGTTTATTATCCTGTCATGTGTAGGTCATTCCAAGATGCCATGGCAGTTCCATAGTCATGGGAGGCTCCAGGCTCTATCTTATTATTTCGCCATCCTGAGCATGTGGCTTCCAACTTCAAGTTCACCCCATGGTCCAAGTTGGCTGGCAGAATGCCAACCGTGGTGTCTGGATCCTCGGTAGAAATTAGAAGGAAGAAGGGATGGGCAAAAGGGCATACTCCCAGCTGAGTCAGCCCCTTTCAAGGATTGTCCTGGGTCTCCTTCCCACCCCACCCCCCAAAATTTTTGCTTACATCTCATCAACCATCCCTGGCCATCAGGGAAGGGAGGCTGGGAAATGTCTTCTAGTCTTGCATGTTGCCACCTAGAGTAAAAAGAGGCATCCGTTAGCAGGGAAGCAGTTGAGAGGAGATGCTGGGCAGGTAGTCTGGGCCGTAAAACCCCAGAGAGTCATTAAAGAACGACAGGAAGTAATACATGCGAATAAGCACTTCGTAAGCTCGGTGGGTATGCAGGTGTTCGCAGTCACGCTCTCCTGTAGATCCTGTAGAGTGGAAAGTGGGGGGCTCAGAGGCATTCAGGGTCAGTAGTCAGTAAATGATAGAGCTGGGATTCCAACTTATGCCCATCTATGACTTTCTTGTCCCTTCCCTTCCAACGGGTGAGAGAAAGAATGGGTTTGTCTCGGGAGGTCCGTCGTGGATCTGTGCAGGGGAGGTCAGCAGTCAAGTGTAAATGGCCCAACGTCTACCCCGCTGAGTCTAGATTTCAAGGAGCGGGGATCCCCTTGCGAGCTGAGAGCCTCAGCTGCTGTCCACTGAGTGTGGACTACTGGTGGCCCTCAGTCGTCTTCAGTCTCAGGGAGCTTTGTTCACGATGTCTTCTTTGAGATTATGGATGCTTTTAATTCTACCTTTTACCAAGGTCCTTGGGACCAGAGGCCTTCAGGCACGAGTGCCTAGAAATCACATCGTATTACATTATTAATTACCGTGTTATCTGGTGTCAACTAATGGACTGATGCTTTGGCAAGCAACGCTGTGAAATAGAAATCTTTCCTAGTCCCTTCTCCCTGCCTCTCCCCAGCGCACAGGCAGAAGGCTGGGCATCATCTGCCCAAAGCTGTTCTGAACCCTTTGGAAGAAGCAGCTATGGCTGCTGGAGGCCACTGTCCTGTCCTGTGGCGGTGGGAAACACTGTGGGTGCATAATGAGAGAGACGTTAGCTCACTGGGAGCAGAATGATGGGGACAGACATCCTGGGGTGTCTGAAATCCAAGATAAGGAGGGTGGGACCAAGAGGGCACGGACCAGCAGAAGATTTGGATTCGGTTAGTTTGTGAGGATAAGGTGCTAAAGAAAGGCTGCAAGCATCCAGGAAGGGGACAGTCAGCCTTCTGAAATACAGGATCTGCCTGGAATGCAGGCAGAAAGAACCTGGAATTGTTCGAGAAGCCTGAGAGGGAGCCCTGCTGCTTAGACCCCAGAGGGATGTCAGCTGGGCCAGTGGATCAACAGCTCCACGGGCCTGTCCTTGCTAGGCATCTGTGGCTGTCCCCCAAGGCTCCCTCGACTCTGTAGTCGCTTCCTGCTTTCCAAGTAATGCCTCAGAGGTCAGCACGTGGGGTACCTCCACCCAGAAGAGGACCATGAGCATAAGGTGTCAGCCCAGGGACCTGCTCTGCAGAAGGGAGTTCTTCTTTCTCCTTGGTCCCCCCACTGCCAGGAGCCTTGAACTAATGCAGAGATCCTCTGGATTAAGGGCCATTGCCAAAGGTTTCTCACAGGCTTTCATGACATTCCAGGACAATTGAGGCAGGGCTGCTGGTAGATGGTGGAGTTTTGAGTTGCAGGTGACAGGTGGTAGAAGCACCCTCTCTCTGTCTCCCACCATCTTCCGAGCGGTCAGACAGGCTGAGTCAGCAAGTCTTGATGGGCTCTTCAAGTGGGAGGCAAACACTTGGCCTCTTCCTGCTTCATCTCTACGGTGAGCAAAATCTCAACCTGCAGGATTGCTATGAGGATTAATCACATTCGTAAAACGCTTTATACTGTGCCTGATGCAGATTAGCTGCCTAACAGGTGTCAGCAACCTCTTCCGGCACAGGGCTCCTCCCTTAAGTAGTCCAAACGGGAACACAGGTGGGGAAGGCAGGTGGAAACAGGTGACAACTCCAAGGAGGAAGTGTTCTCATACCCTAAGATGGGGGCTCCAGGGACCAGGCGCTATCACACACAATGAAGGTCCGGCTCCTCCATCTTTCTTGTCGGGAATGAGAGCCACCAGCAAAGCTTTGGAGAGAGGCAACATGTCATAAAGCGTTCAGACTCAGATGTGGTCCAGTCTCTGCCATGCGCTGGTGAGATATTCTCAGGCAAGTTGCTTAACCTCAGTTAAGCCTCCGTGGAGAGTCATCATGCCGCCCTCAGCAGGCCGGCAGTCTCTGAGGAAAGCCCCCGAACCAGCCCTGATGGTGCAGGTGACCAGGGAGCTGGAGCCAGCATGCACAGCACCCCAAGGCCCCGCTGGTTAGCTCCCGGAGCCTCTGCCAGAGAAAGGCCAAAGCCAGGCAGCTGAGAGATTTCTCTTTCCTGGGTGTGGATGAGCATGCAGGAAAACCACCAAGATGAGGCCATCTCCTGTGGGCTTCCCACCCTGATTCCACTCTGCTATCATCATCAGACATGACCTCGCCCAGCTTCACAGCACTTTGGGGGCAGGATAAAGGAGGCAAGAAACTCCGGTCCAGAGAAATGTACACCACTGGGATCATAGGCCTGGAACGATTGAGAACTCAGGCTTATAACCAATGCCCAAGATTCAGACTCATCTTACTTTCTCATACATGCGTGCACATGGACCCCTGCATAGATAGCGCCTAAACAAGCTGGACACATACTTTTAAAACTTGCACTTGAAGTCGATGAGAAACAGAGCACCTTTACGTGGCAAGCGAATACTTGGCATCTTCCTTGGTACATCTGTAACAGTGGGCAAAATCCCCACTTGCCAAATTGCTGCAAAAATCAAATCACGCACAGAAAACGCTTCACACAGTGCCTGATGTGGGATAGCACTTAAAATGTTAACGATGTATTGCTGCATGCAGACTTGTCCTGGATCCACTCACATAGAGTCATGCAGGTTGTGCCCTGCCCCATTCCAGGAGACACCAGTGCCATAGATTATCAAGTGCATGGCCCTCCCTGGATTTGGGCAGTGTACATCCTGCACCACCTGGATTTGGGCCGTGTACATCCTGCACCACCGTCCTGAGCGCAAACCGCTCCAGGACATCCCTTCTGCCTTTGACTCTCAGCTGACCTTCCTATCCCTTCACTTGCTCTTCCCCAGCTCTAAATCACCCCGCTGGTGGAGAGCCTAAGTGGGGTAGCCAGCCAGGAAGGCAGTGTACGAAAATACTGAGGGCAGTCTGCTTTCTTTGCTCCCTCTCTCAAGGTTTACCTGAATCTTTAGTCTCTTGTCATTTTTTAGGGCCAGTGGCTGATTTTGGGGGGCACGATGTGCTGCCTGATAGTGCTGCCTGTGTGCTTGGGGCCCTGGTTGGGCTACAGTGGCCACCAGGTGGAAAAAGGATATTGGGAGTCCCTGGGATGTTTTACCCTCAGCACAAACTGGAGAAAGAAACCACGGGGCTGCTGCTGTTATTTCAGCTTCAGTGATGTTGAGTCCCAACCCCGAGTCATTTATCCAATGAGCCTGCGAGGCAAGGCCAGAGCCTGGCTCTCAAGGCCAGCCCAGTCCCCAATGCACTAATGACACTTGACAGACACCAAATCCTTGCAATTTCCAAACAAAACCTTGACGCTCCAGTTCCAGGGCTCCCGGGAAACACTCCATTGCTTCGCCAGGCTTTGCTCAGCTGGTTCTCACTGATTGCCAACAATCCGCAGCCGAGCAAGTTCCTTGCCCTCCAGCCCCTCCCTCCCTCTTAACCCTCCTCTGCCCACTCCCTTGTCCCCGCTTCAGCTGGGGAGCCCTCGGAGAAGCTGGCCAGACAATGCGCCCTAATTTATGCTGCTTAAAATTACATCACCTGTTTGTACACGCTTTCTCTGGTTGCTGAAATGACGTCCGCGGTTTGGTGGGGCTGGGATGGGCAGATGCACCATGTTAATGGTACAGAGTTCCTGGGTTCCTTCAAATATCATCTGCCAAATAGCAAAAGGTGGCAGCCCTTCACTCAAAAAGGCTTTGCACAAGACACAAGACAGAAGCAGGCTCACAGCCAGATTTCAATTCTTTATACTCCACTCCAGTTCTTGTTCTTGAAACAGAGAGGGTGGGCTTTTCTGTATCATTATTTTAATTATGGAATAATTCAGACTTACCGAAAGAAAGGCCAAATAATATCATAAGCAACTACGTATCCACCACCTAACTTAAAAAAGGGAAATATTGAATGTGTGGAAATCCATACGGTGCGCCAATACCATTTTCTCTTCTCTACCCCAGATGTTACCACCATCTGAAATTGGGTCTTTACTGTCCTCCTGTGTCTTTATACTTCACACTGTTTTGTCACCTTTTTATCTTGAGATACTTGTCACTTCACATGCAGAGGTAAGAAATAATAGAGAGAACCCATACAGCCCACACACCCTTCACCCAGTTTCCTCCGGTGCTAACATCTTGCAAAACTATAGTGCAATATCACAACCAGAAAACCGACATTGATGCAACCACTAACCTTGTCCAGATCTCACCAGTTTTATGTGCACTTGTGTGTGTTTGAGCATGCATGTGTGCATGTGTGTGGGAGCATTTAGCTCTACTTAGCTCCATGCAAGTTTTCCTCATGTGAAGATCCGTGTGACCACCACCATAGGGAGACCCAGACAAAGCTACCTTCATCTCTCTCCCTCCCCAGGCCCCTGACAACCATTAATCTGTTCTTCATTTCTATTATTTTGACACTGCAAGTAATATAAATGGAATCCTATTGTGTAATCATTTAAGATTGGGTTTGTTTGTTTTTTTTTTTTCAGTAAACAGAACGCCCTTGAAATCCATTTAGTGTTGCATCTATCAATAGTTTGTTCTTTGTTGTTGCTGAGTAGTATTCCACTGTATGGATGTACCACAGTGTGTTTAACCGTTCATCCATTGGAGAATATTTGGGCTATTTCCAGTTTGGTGCTCTTACAAATAAAGCTGCTATGAACATTTGTAGAGAAGCTCTTCTGTGAACATAAGTTCTCATTCTTCTGATGTGAATGGCTGAGATTGCAATTGCTAGGTTTTATGGTAAGCACATGCTATTATTTTTAAAATATGACACCTCTTTGAAACATATAATGGTATCACACTGTGTATATTCTTCCGCAACTCACTTCTCTCTCAACACATGTTCCTTCAATCATATTCATGTTGATATATGTAGCTCTAGTTTATTTACTTGTACTGATATGTAGCAGTTGTTGTATGAATATGCTATAATTTATAGGTCCACTCTAGTTCCCATTCTGAAAGGCCTAAAGTTGTGGCATGGGAATGGTTTTGTAGGCAAGAAAGTAATTTGCCTTCCTAGTTTTAGAATGTTGCAATATGGAATAAGCCTTAACTCATCTAGAAGACAAGACTTGGTAATTTGGTCTTGATTCCATCCACTAGATGACCTTGGTAAAGTCCCTTGGCCTCTCTGAGCTCAGCCTTCTCATCTGTAAAATGGGACCCTTAATAACAATAATAAATACTTGACTTAATTCTTAAGGGAATTAAATGAAAATATAGTACGTTTACTAAAATAAACTAAAACATGTTGAATAAGTGGCAATTAATTTTATTAGTTAATAATTACAATTAAATACCAAATACCACCAATGGAAAGAACAACCAACGTAGGCATTCTTGGACTTTTCATGGAAAATCCAATTTCAAATAATTTCTCCCATTGTCCCCCTAAACTGGCTTGTCAGCCCTGTCCTGCCATCAATTAATAAGGTCAGGGTAACCCCAGAGGTCCTAGTCCTGACCTCGCCCTAGGGTGACGATTGTTATTATACTTTAAGGTGAGGAACTAGAGGCTCAGACATTGAGGACCACACAAGAGCTGACTCCATGGCCTTTAGTCTGGATCCAGAGTCCACACTCCTCCAGCTTCCTCGCTGCTGTGAGCGGCCTCCGGGGAACCCTGGTTTGCCCATGCTCGGCATGCAGACAGAGAGTGTGCAGGTGGTGGGCTCCGGTTCTTCTCAGAGAGGGTAAGAGGCTCCTTCCTGTGCCCAGCTCCCCAGGGTCCTCTCTCTGCACCTCTCCAGAGGCCCATCCATCCTCCCAGGCCCCAAGAGCAGAGCAGGGGGCACTGGAACCGCTGGATGACCACAGGATGAGAGGAGGGAAGAAGGCATGCAGGGAAGACTGTACCAGACCCAAAGGAAAAAAAAAAGTACTTAAATATACATTGCTAGATTGTTGGGCTAAGCAACAACCACAGAGTGACGTGACAACAGTCTCCAAATATTTAAAACGTGTGAGTCCTCAGGAAGGAGAATTTTTTTAGCCTGGAATGAGGAAGGCAGACGCTGGGGGATGGGTTGTTGAGGAGCAATAGGACAGGATTCAGGAGGGAGAAGGAACTCCGAAGTCAGGTGCCACTTTCCCTACCTTTGCCTCAGTTTCCTCCTCTGTAAAGTGGGATGAGTGGACTGAATATTCTCTAAGGTCAGCCCAACTCTGATGTTCTTTGGGAGAAAAAAAAAAAGCTTTTACATCAGTCTGTCTGTCCCTGAGGAGAGGCAGAGAAGAAAACAACCCTCTGGGGCATTCCTGTCGCCTGTGAGGGTACCAGGCTTGGGGTTGCACAACCACGTGATGTGGCTTCCTGCCATTTCAGATTCTCCGTGTCACAGTCCACTTTAGCAGGGATGTTTCCTGGGACAGCAAGTGAGGGGGTAGGAGAGAGAGGCAGATGGGGCTCTTGGGAAGGATTAATTTTTGCTTCTGGAAATTGCAGAGGCAATTGCCTGAGCTTTGTTCCCCAAAGTGGGATCCCCCGAGCCCCAGATCCTGGCCCTACCCAGATGTCTATGCAGAGAATCCCTGAGCAGAGCCTGAGGGTTTGTTGTCCTGACCTGCTTGTCTGTTTTCCTCCAGGTTCCACACGGGCTGCGGCCCCATCACACCGGAGACGAGAGGCCAGAGGACCTACAGCACTGGGTGCCCCAGACACAAAGCCTACCACCCTGAGCCATTCGTGGCTCCATAATTGGGCCCCAGCAACTCTCCCTGACGCCTGACCTGAGCCTGTTTTCCCAAGGGAGACAGTGCATTTGGGCACCCCCTTCTCAAGACAGGCTCTAATAGAAAGTGTCTGGCTTAAAACTCATCATCACTATTGGAAAACCGAAGGGCCCCTACACTCCAGCCATTCATCTGAGCCCCCTCTGCACCCTTCACGCCCCACCCTCCTCCCTTAAGTCCTCCCTCTCCCTGCCTGATCCTCTCAGGCCTCCTTCCAACCGCCTAGTCCACCTGCCCCTGCCCTTCTGTGCCCGCCACCACCTGCTCATACATGAAACATGCTTTCCCGTGCATCCTAGTCCCCAGCCCTTACCCTCAACCTCTGGGTCCTGATGTGTGCCAGAATCTGGAAGGTTTCGGATGTTATGGAGGGGACAGGATGCTTATTCCCTCTGGTGTATAAAACATCCCAGCCAGGTCTGGGCCAACTCCCAGCAATCAGCCACATTAATACTACTGCAGGGAGATCCATGAATATTCACGCCAAGTGGGGATAAATAAAAGACTATAAATAGCCTCAGTTCAAGGCAGGTTTTGCCTCCAAATGAGTTACATAAAGCCTCTCTGTTTTCTGGTTTCTGTGGCTAAGAGAGTAAGGGCCTGACTAGTTAGTCCTGGCCTCCCCTTCCACCTGGGCCAGGACCCACTCAGCTCTCAGGGGTCCCCTCTCCGCTCCATCTGCAGATTCCATCGCTGTCCCGTGGTCTGTGGCAGCCCATTTCTCTGATCCTGCCCCTGAGAGCTCCATGTCCCTCCCTTCTCTAGGCTGCTCTGCCCCAACCCTGCACGGGGCTGGGGGAGGGGGCTTCTCATTGCATAGACTCTGCAGAGCACCGCGCTGGGTGATCACCTGTCCTGTGACACAGAGGGGTTTCTGGTGATGGTCCGGCGACATGTAGACAGGGGTGTTGGTTGAAATGGAGGCATCACCAAAGGAGACTAGGGGAGATGCTCGGCACACCGGGGCCTGTGTTCATCCCTGGCACCGCCTGCTCTCTGGACCGGGCGTGCACCCTCCCCACAAGGTCCGCGGGTGGACTTGGAAGGAGAGACTTCCACGGGGTGCCCTGAGTCATTGGAGCAAAGGCAAGGCCACTGTGGGGTCAGGACCCAATGCCAGTGCAAACCCGAATGGTGATGAGGACAGAGCCAAGTCTGTCCTTATGATGCTTTCATGCAAATTACAACTAGACTTCGCTTCCAAGCAGGCCCACCCTCCAGCCCACCCTTCGCTCGGCACTGGAGTGCAGGCCATGCGATGCAGAATCACATGCCATGACTGCCGCATGGAACACCGTGGGGCTTCGAGGAGGGCGCCTAGCACGTGGGCCCCAGTTCCAGGGCTGGCTCTCAGATGCACAGCGGGTAAGACACCTCTTAAATGGCTTTGAAGGCAGCCAACCCTGGGGCCCCCAGGGACTGATGGCGAGCTTGCCAGACTCTCTGGGGAAGGACTGGATTGTGTATTTAGCAGGGAGTCGTACTGTGATGTCCTGCAGACGGGGGGCAACACCCAGACTGCTCAATGTTGAATTGTCACCTGCATGAGACCCACGGACCGGGGAGACCAGGCGTTTAAAGACCCTTTGGACCTTAGGTAGTCAAAGCCTGGCTCTCTGGAACTGGCTGCCCTGGGGAGGCAGGAATCTTGGGCTGCTGCTGAGGAGGCTGAGCAGCCCCCTCGTCCTGCAAAGCCCCTTCACGCTCGCACCTGCGCCCCAGCCCCAGCCCGTTAAGAGGAAGCAAGTGGTAGATAATTAAGCAAACACCACAAAACAAAAAAAGGATGACAAGTATAGACAAATGGAGAGGAGGAACTAAGCCTGAGAAGGGACCGCTTCAGCTCACCTACCCCTCCCCACCTTCCCTGGAAGATGGAATTATGACCTGAAATCACTGGATACATATTTTATTATGTGGATAATTTAAAGGATTAGAGTGAGACAAAGAATTCATAAGCTGTAGTCACATTAGAAGACAAATTGTTTCCATTAATCTCTGAAGAAGGGAGGGAAGGAGAGAAATGGGAAAATGTAGGCAGGCGGAGAAGGAGGAGTTGGGGGGGCAGGGGAGACAATGGTGCTTTCTTTCTCCCCGTCTCTGGCAGCACCCCCCACCCCCAAACACGCTGAGCCTCTGCTCCAAATAAGGCTGATTTGCATTGCAGATTCATTTCAGCTGCTTTTTGCTTCTGTTGCCAACCAGAGATGGTTTAAATAACATGTATTGTTCTGCGTGATTCCTTATGCAAATGTTTCTGGCCTGTTTGTTATTCCTGAATAATTTCCAGTGCCTGCTGTCTGGGCAGAAGCAGCGTCTCACTCTCCCAGCTGTGCAGGGAGTCACCTGCCGGAGGCAGGAGGCACGGGCCCAGGGACAGGGTTCTGACGGCCCAGCCGGATCAGGAAGGCCAGCAGTGGTGTCCTCGAGAGCCCGGTGTACAAGCCCCATCCCGGCTGGATCTTAGGGTGGAGAAGCCAGCGCAGGAGGCACTTCCAGAACCAAGTCCACTGTGGGATTTTTCACAGACTGAATGAGGCCCGGAGGAGGGAGGTGCCCTCCACACCAGGGTCCGGGGCTTCTCTCTGCAGGGGAGCCTGGGAGCGCAGCCAGTGGGGAGCCCTGTGCACGAGCAGCCACGGAAGCAAGGACTGGCCTCCCGTGAATGAACCAATGAGTGAAAACAATGATCTAATGAATGCATCGTGTGTGCATCCACCTTTTTCCAAGAGTAGGGTTTAGAAAGTGAGAACACAGGGGCACCTGTCTGGCTCCGTAGAGCAATCGCCTCTTGATCTCGGGTCTAGAGTTTACTTAAAAAAGGAAGGAAGGAAGGAAGGAAGGAAGGAAGGAAGGAAGGAAGGAAGGAAGGAAGGAAGGAAGG